TTTCCTTCACATGATCTGCGTTTTCCCTGCACTGCAATAAAGACTTCTTGCATTTATTCGGGCAGGAACAGTAAAGTCTCAGGAGGCCTAAGGGAGTTTAATGGTACTTCTCTTCAGGTAAACCAGCTGCTTTCATTACCTTTATATGTGACATGGACTCTATCAGTAACATTTGCATTTTTGGAACAACATTACAACAGCATTTTTGATCAAAAACCTGCACTAAAGCCAGTTTCTTCTAGGTTGTTCAATTTGCATCAAAAAGCAGACGAAGCACAACTTCCTTGAACAGAGCTGGGTTAGGTATTCATACCCATGCCTTTTATTTGGTATATGTTAATAACCTCCTTTTTTGCACTAAATACCCAGAGGGCAACTACTCATGGATATAATCTGTTCAGAAAATACAATCCATTTCAAAAAGTGAAAGCAGTTTGGCTCTTATACTTCTGAAAACTGGCATGCAAACATGTAACTGCTTTGAAACAGCTCTTCTGAAACAGATGCCAAATCTAGTGGCAAGAAAATAATCAGAGAGAATATACCCCATATACATCTCAGCGCAGGATAGTAACACATGCATTGGCAGGAAAGTCTAAACAGCTAAAAAACAGAAGAGAAAAATTATTAATTATTATAGTGTAATTATTAATTACACTTCTCCAACTTCTGCAATGGTTGTTTTTCAGCACGTAATTTGAAATCTGATTTTTGTTGACAGAGATCAGGAAGCAAGCATGTTCAGGCACCTAAACTTAGCATCCCCTGAGAAGTGTGAAGATATAGCTTTGTCTTTTCTGTTTGTGGGCAGAGCTCCATGTTTTAACCTCCCTCATGTTTTCAAATTCCATTTTTGTCAGAAGCAATGTCTCCTCAGCTAAAATCACTATGTTCATCTCTGTGGACAAGCCAAGGATCAAGATTAGCCAGCTGAGCATTAGATTTCTATCCAAGTACATCCTAGACTTGCCACCAAGAAAATCAACTGTATGAAAAAAAACAAAAACAAAAACAAAAAAACAGCAAGATTCAGCAGTGGATAAACACAGGACCCAGACTTGCTGCAGACAACCATCTTCAGCACAAGTAGTACCAAAGTTTGTGATAACTTACAACTCCTTTGGGGTCATCCCTGCTTCTCTGACCCCTCCCTTCTCTCTGTGTCCCTTACAATTCTTTTCCATACCTTCTCCTCTTCCTCCCTGAGCTCCATTTCTGCCATTGCTGCTGCTCTACTGTAGTTCTACTGTTGTCGAGGTGACTCCCACTACCCTACTGAGAGCCCTTACAGGCAGTACTGCAACATTACAGGTGTTAGAAAACCTGACAGTTATGGTGCCCCTGCATTCCTCAGTCACACTTGTAGGCACCACAGTTTCAGCACGTTTGTTTTCAGCCTGATGAGCAGTATGGCCTCACGAGACTGGCAGTGGAAAGATGTGTGAGTGGAAAGTGTGAGCCAGCGCCTGGTTTATCCATTGGGTTAGCTAAAACAACATAAATGATGTCTTACTGACATTGCACATTTAGAGAGCGCTCGGTTTCGGGGTGCTAGCTCATACCACTCTCCACATTTATCTGAGGAGAAACCAGGGAAACCTTTTAGAGCCCTTCCAACTGTCCTTTGTGAAATAAACACCAGTGATTCTGTAGAAAGAGGCATCTACCTCCCTCCTCAGCACTGGTTAGTGCTCTCAGCTCAGCTCTGCTGTCACTTCCCCCAGTTCATTCCACCTTTTCCTACCTCTATGTAATTTTGGCATCTCATTTTCTAATTGGAAATACTTTGTACGGTAATGTGAGGAGACAGCAAGCAAGCAAATAAGCAAGGACACTTCATGTCTTACAATCAAGTCCATCTGATTTGAGCCGTATCATATTTTCCACGCATCAGGCTGGACTGCATATGCCTTTGGAATGCAACAACTTACAACTGTATTTGCTCTTCAGTCCATGACCTTAGTTGTGCGAGCCTGCTTTGCGGGGGGAAAGATAGGCAAAAGGGGATAGCAACACATTCTTTTATTTCTGCCGTTTGCAAGTTTTAAACATCCCAAATCAGCACAAAAGCACCTTATCCCTAGGTAAATGGAAATTTTGTTCTGCTGGTGCCAAGTTCAAAATAGCAGAGGCATGTGTGAATGTTAAGCGCTCAAGCGCTAGTCAATGAGGTAGAGCCTGATTCTGCAAGCAGTAGTCCCTTTGAGGGTTATACATTGGTCAGCACATTGAACTCCCACTCCGGATGCTGGGATGCTGAGAACCAGGTCGAAGAGGTGCACCATTACTAATTTTGTGTTTTAAGAACAAACTATTGTCCATTCTGCCAGATAATGCTTTTGTTCTTTCATATTCACACTTACTGAGCGCTGGATTTCTGCTGGAATAGTTCTGCTAGCCATTATGTATTTCATATGGCACTTAGCGTTTCATCTACCATGAATAAAGTTGAAACAACACAGAGCGTAGGCCAAAAGTAAATACAACTTCAAGACAAAAAGAGGAACCTATTTATGGAGAAAAGGTCAATTTAAAATTGATTATTTTTTCACTAATGTAATTGAATCTACATTAATTTTCAACTTAAAAAAAACAAAAATGAAGTATTGGGTGATTACGAGGGCCAGACAATTGTCAGAACTACACTGGCTTCAGCTCAACTCAAATTAGACTGAAGTAACTGCTCAGATGAACTCCAGTTAAAATAGAAGCAACTCAGTAAATAATTTCCTTCTCACCACCTTTGTCTTGATGGAATTCATAACATTTTTAGTTACGGAAATGTGACATTTTAGTTACATTTGCATGTTTGAGTCTTTACAGTCTTACTGGCGGCTGCAACCTTGTTTAAGCTACCCTAAGCCTTTTCAATTGAATATACTCAGCTACACTCCAGGGAATAATTACTGCCCTCAATTATACTATGATGTAAACCCTTTCAAACTCATTTCCGGAATGTTTAAAAACAAGAAACTCAGCATTATTAATGGCAATGTTAAAGGCTTAGCCCACTATAGATGATACTCAAGGCAAGAAACCTAATTACACTTCCTAGTTATTTTCTTGATCTGTTCCCCAGAAACCAAATCATTCAACAGCCAGATCATAACACTGAGTGCTATTAACAGAAAGTAGTTTTCCTTGTTCCATGCTGGGAAATGCAAACAGGCACTAATACCAAACACACTGGATACTTGCTTCTCCACAGACCTTGTGTAAATGATATAACGCACTGGGCATTATATGATTTAGCACCATCGCACTCACTCTTCTTCTTTTGGCCAGCCATTTTATTTTCTGCTAAGGACATGAGAGACAGAAAACTAAGAGGCAGTTTAGAGGAAAACTGAAGGGTAAAACAATCCCAAAATGTTATGTTTGTTAGTAAAGTAGCATGAATTCTGTACAAAACAAAGCTATTTTTATCCACCCACCACTAAGTCTGTAACTTGGAATCAGCTATCCATCCTGGTCTCTGATGTAGAAATCAGGGGTAATAGCTCTTAAAAATGAATCAACTGTTTTGTTAGTAGCAAAATTAATGAGGCCTGGCCTGCTGCAGATTTGTGTCTCACAGGTCATGTCCCATTTGGATTCTCTAGTGTTAATAAGAGGTGAGCTGACATTGCAGCCTTCACCACCATGCGGGAACTAATTTATACTTCTCTCCTCTACCCACCTGCAAATTTTTACGACACTTGAAGCAGCTTCATGCCTTTGAAGTCTCAACATCCCTGATAAATGTGCCTGAAATGGGTCAACAGGTTCAAAAAAATTGAATGGGAAACAGAAAGACACACGCAAACATTATGGCTTTATAAATCTCACTTCTTTGGAAAACTTAGATAGAAACACAAGTTAAAAATAGGATAATACTTGAAAATATATCATTGCACTTTCAGGCAATGCAAAAAAAGAAATATTATGAAAGATATTTGCTCACAAATAGTGGGATCAAGATTGCATTTACTAAGAAAACAGGAAATAACAAATAGCCTATTTGTCAATCGTTAGTAAAAAGTAAGGTCAATCAACCAGTTCCTCCTCTGAGCTTAACACTACTCCCTTCATTTATACCAGTGACGGCTCTGCACTATGAAATTCATTGTATTTCATGATGCTTAGCTATAATCAGTCTAGTGTAAAGTGAACATTGGACATACTGCTATTCAACCAAGACACTACTATTTTTTGCTGAGAGCAAGGAAACTGTAAGACGTTCCACAAATGCAGTCCCATAAACCTTCCTTTATCCAGACAGTTCCAAGGACTTTATGTGACTTCTTCACATAAATAAAAGCAAGGGTTTGCGAAGCCAAGCTAAATCTAAAAACAAACTGTACAGAATGGTTAGATTCTGCCCGACTTAGCTGGGGAATCTTGACAGTAAGAGCTGTGAGGTTTTTTTTTTTCCCCTAACACACATATTTTCAGGTAAGTGTTGCTGACTTGAACTTCTTACTCAGGATATCACGTTATGGCTAAGCTGATCATATGGCTCGTTGCTGCCCAACCTGGGAAATCCCATGTATTTTGCCTCTATCCCCATCCTGTTCCCAGCTACATGGTCCTGTCCAAGCTCTAGCACTCATCTGACCCTGTGCCGGCTTGATTCAACTCACTAACTAGCAGGAAATTAATCCAGAAAAAAAAAAAGTTGTTTTCTGCTGGATTTACTAAAGGAATTGATTTACTCAGGACCCAGGTGACTGGCAGAATCAACACAGATGGAGGAGGAGGTCTACACACCTGGAAGGGAGGTTTCTCCTTTCAGAAGTGATGAACCCATAAACCTCTCCAACCGCAGCATGTAGCCTTGCCCTGTGCAGAAGGAGTCAGTGACCACTTCATACTTCTCAAATTCTTCCCGGGAAAGGTGAAACAAATAACTAATATTTTGGTGAAGATGCAGCAGGTTTAAGTGAATGGGAAATCCTTTCTTTTCACATTTTTAATATATTCTGATACAAAAAAGGAAAACAAAAAGGGTTGTGGCTTACCATTTGTCTTCTGTTCTCCACCAGGTGGATGCCAACAATCCCTAGGAAAGATCCAAAGCCAAGCTAAGGCAGAGAACAAAAACAATATAAACACGTAAGGTCAGCTTATGTGGTCAACATACCAAAGCATCACAGTGACACCTAAGCTGATACCTCATACGGATGGACTAACTGGGTTGGGTGAACAGAGGAAAGGGTGAAATAGCCTGTCTAAATTTATTGCTGAACATAAATCATATACAGCAATAGGGAATGCCCAGACCTGTAACTCTTAGGTATTTCTGAGCAAATTTTGTATTACAGTAAAGAGAAGCCTGTAGAGAGAGACACCCTTTTATAGCCTGGGTCTTGTTACTATAATCACGTATATTTTTACACACTGTAAAGCCAAAATTAAGTGAAGTAGAACACTTACATTTAGCCTATGCATGATTATCCTGGAAAATAGCAAAGCTTTAGGCAGCTGTAGCCAAACAATTTTCTTCAAAAAAAAAAAAAAAGTGCTGCTGCTGTGCAAGTGACCCAAGTTCAAATTCTTATGGTTGGGTTTGTTTGGTTTGAATGACACTGTCATACATGCCAGGAAAAGTCCCTGCTAAAATACTAGAAAGACCAGCACAGCTAGTATCACCAAGGGATAGCTGCAGTACTTAGAGCCACCTCAGGAGAGAGAGGAGGAAAGGAAGCTGGAAGAATCTGGCCTTACCATTCCTGTCAGTGCTGCCTTAACATGAGGTTGGCAGGAAACACCTCCTCTTTATGGGGGGGGCCAGTGAGGGTCTGAAGAGGTAAAAACGCCTGGGACTCTTGGCTTACATCAGGTACAGTGGCAACAGGCAGGACCTCCCTTTCATCAGACCTCCCTGAAGTCAAGATCCCCACTGCGCTCATGGGGGCTTGGAGGAAAGGGAACTCCTAAGCGGCACAAACCTAAAGCTTATCTGGCTACAAATTCACAAACAGCCACAGCGGGGGTGCCCACCTCACCATTTTTCCCTAGAATTCATTCCTTGCACTGACTGTCCGTTTGCTTCTGCACAGTTACCTGAGTCTCAAACCCCCTTTCACTTCTGCCACCCTTATTCCCTTCACTATGCATCTGATATCACTCTCTGCTCAGTGAACTCTCCAGTCACCCCTGGAGCTCCTACCTCGCTCACCCCATGGAGGGAACATGGCTGACCCTTTTTTGTTAAGGGAACGAGGCCCCTTTCTGGAACTAGGTTTCTGAACCTGTTTCAGAGCACAACTGTGCTCTTCCAAGCATAATTGTGTTTTTAAGAACTAAGTTTCCCAGCCAAGGGGTTAAGCAGGGCCTATGAACTGTTCGCTGTTATGCACAACTGCCCACAGCAGAAAGCAAATCTCCCGTAAGCACTTTAATTGCTCAATATCACAACAGGAGTCAAGAAAGCAAACGCAAGGAAGGGGGAATTTGCTACTGAGTGCTTCGGGAAGATTTATGCAAAAAGGAGGCAAACACCAGAGAAACAGAGAGAGAAGGTAGCATCCGAGAACCAGATACAGCCTGGAAAAGTACTAAAAGCAGAGACATAGAAAAAGAACGCACAAGAGCATCTGTGCTGACTGCTGAATAGAAGAGAGACTTGGAACCATGAGCAAGGACATTGTGTTCAGGGGACTGCGACTTTGCAAATTAACATAACTACATCAAAATGACACCTGGTTCCAACCCCAATTTTTCATCTCAAATGGAACAATCCATGAAGCTCCATTTATGGCTGACTCAGAGGACATGGAGGGGAGCAATATTATCCATGCAAGAAAAAATGAGAAAATGCAGAACAAAAAGAACTAAATCAGAAGGAGCAAAACCACAGATAGAGATGGTGCTTTAAGCCACCACACTGGTTGCATATTATAGTCACTGGGTTTTTTTTGTTTGTTTAGATAGGCTATTTCTGTCAGGAGCTCCAGGAATCCAAGTCAGTATGGTGACCAGGACAACTGGACCCTGTAGCCTCTTGGTTGAAAGATGCTACCATTATAAAAATAACAAATGAAAAGCAGTACAAGCAGTATTTATAGGCAAGTGACATGAAGTAAGTATAAGCCATATTTATAAGGAACTGAGATTAAAGAAGCTCAAAATTTGGCTTTGCAACCTGTTCCACAAAGACAGAGCCCTAAATCCAAACGGACAACCAAGCTGCAATCTACTAAATGCACATCTTCCAAAGAGCAAAATTATACTAATTTATCTAAACACAGAAATATTTTATATTAAACTACTCTGGGTCTACATAAACATATTTCTATTAGGATGCATATAAAAAAAAATCTGTTTCTGAAACAAATGATAAATCACCACATGTGCAGAGAAATTAAGGTGCCTAACTCTTCTAGAAGCCAATGGGAGTTAAGGGGATGCCCAAGTGATTTTGTGGTTTTGGCCCTTAAACCCTGTTCTGCAAATCTTTACTCATGCAAGTACATCTATGCCAGTTAATAGCCTCATTTACGCTGGCAAGGTAAGGGCCTAATTTGGCATGCTTTTTAAGACCAAAATCCCTTATCCAAGATCAGTGGGGATTCAGAGCTTATCTGCTGGCTCCGAATTATTGTTTTACTACTGAACCCTATGAAAAACAGACCTTACTTTTAATTGTAATTTCAGTTGTCTGTTCTCACAATTTTTTTTTTTGGGCTGGCTAGTTAAACATGTAATGTGAGATTTACTCACCTAGTTTCAGCTATCTTAAAGTTCAGGATCAATGCTAAACCAGTTTTCTAAGCTCCCTCTACTGTCAGTGGAGAAGAGAAGCACCTTCGGAGGATTACTCAGCTCACTCCGAAGTAATGGCTGACTTTGCACAGAGTCAGATGAGAGGCTCTCCCATAGCCCATCTGTCAATGCTGCACTGGAGTCAATAACATCCAGCAAGAAGGCAGGAACATATCCTTTCTGTCACATGCATCTAAATAGGCTTTTGGTAATGTTTCTTGCAGGATTTGTGTAGCACCTTTAACTTTTGCTCAATGTTTGGAATCTTTAATGTATTAACCAATAAAGGTTACACTGACTATTAACCATTACTCTTTTTCAGTTACTTCAATAATACATTATATGCGCACAAAAAAAATCAGAAATTTATGAAAATTACTTAGCTCCAACAATCTTTGAGCAGGAAAATTATTAATAAAAGGTTTTGTTTTCAAAGTGCTCTCATAAATTCTAGGTATCAGATTATTAATGACTCTAAGATTTCAAAAAAATCTTTTAGCAAATTATACTTTTCTAGTCATTGTTTGCTTCCTAAAAGAAACTACATTCTGAAATTAAACGGCTTGTGCACAAGAGCTTATTACTTTTCACCCTTATTAAAGATAACTGTTTAAAAATGAAACTTCTTTGAAGGGAATACAGATAATGTGGTCTTCTAAAATGCTTTAATTCAAATTATAAAAAATTATTTAAGGAAACTTTTATCAGTATTAGTCTATCTACTTTAGTTTAATGAAAGGAAAGTCCATTCTTTCAAGGTTTTATTCTTGGAACTACTTTTTGTTCTATTTTTAAAACACCACTCCTTCTAGATCATTATCCCAAAATTATCTTTCTGAAAGACCTGTTCTCAGCACAACGCTAAGATGTAAGAGGACTTACTTAGGAAGAACAGTTCTAACTCACAAATTATTAATGGCAATGCAAAATGTATGCACGGTATTAAAAGATACACATTCCTCTTCTCTGGGCATTTGATTCCATTGAGAACAAGAACTTGCAAGACATTTTGGTACTAGCAGAGCCATGTACTTAAGCAGGTGTCTAACCCCAAGTATGGCAGTTTCTTTCTTCGCCTTGCACCCATCATCTTGTCTCGGCTGGGTAGGGGAGACCAAATAAGGTAGACAGTCCTTTCTCTACTTGCTTTCTTTACCCTCCTTTTTAAAAATTCAGCCCAGGCATCTCAAAAAGCTTTTTGATGCCAGTGGTTTCCAACCTTCTTGATAAAATAATCAATTTTCAGGGATCAGGAAATGGCCACAGGGGCTAAATCGGGAATGGTCTTGTGGGGCTTCACCTCCCTGGAGGTCACAGAGGCACTACTGGACTAAATAGATGGGATCTGAGCATTCGTTACTGAGAACGTTAAGATAGTTGTGCTTGCGCCCAATGCAGGTACACGTTTAAGGGGTCTATTCCCAAGACAAAACAATACTAAGGATTTTGGAAAGGGACCCTGTATGATGGGAACAGAAGAAGCTTTAGGGCTTCATGGAGTCTGTGGAGTTCATCTGTCTGTGCCTGATCCAACCTCTACACCAAGGCTGTACAAGAGGATGTAAAGGTTAGGTGGGCTCTAGGCCTCCATACGTCTATCTATCTGGAGTATTTTCCATGCGGTAGACCCAGCAGAATTCCTGGCACATGGAGACAAGAGTGGAGTGACTCTTCTTACCATCAGTGTAGTAAATCTCTAAGAGGTCATTTAACTCTACCCCATGTCTGTTGTTCAGTTACCCGTACACCCACATTTAATAAAGATTAGTTGGGAGTCAAGCACAGGCTCCAACATATGCCCGCAAGCTCAGTATACTACTATGCCGCGCAAACTTAAGCCCATGTGATCAGACCCTTGTGCTCCCTTGCAGCTTTTTCTTGGGGGCACTCCAGACAAACACCAAGTTCACCACCCTATATAATAAATTGCAGGACTACAGTCTCTGGGAGCATCACAAACACACTAGAACTAGATCAAAACAACTGAGCGTCTCCCTTTTGTGAAATGCAGGAATGAATTTTCTTTTTTTTTTTTCTTATCAATTGGAGCTGCCTATATCGAGCTGATAATAATGCATCTAGTTGCACCCAATAATCTAAATTATGTTTCATTACTCACAATGATTCCTGGGTAGTAGCCTCCCACAGTAACGTTTTCTGTTCTTGTGGTAGCTGCCAGACCTATGGTCAGTATGAAAATAGACACTACCAGCAGAGAGACTGTGAACCATAGCGAAGTCTTCTTTCGTTTTGCAAACTGGCCTGTAGAGAGCGGAGGGAAAAAAAGAGAGCTTTTCATTGCCATCATGGAAGAACAAACACAAAATAATAGAGCATTTTCTGTCGTTAACCCCTTCTCCCACTAAGGTAAATAGTATTTTTAAATACAGAGGTATTTAAAAAACACACAGAGTCAGCTAGAACTTCACATAATTTGATACACGTGCATTGGGTACACGTACAAGATGGGTTTTTATTACGCTGAACTGAATGTTAGCAGCAATGATAATTATGCCTTATCTGCAGTGATGTTTATAATTTAAGTTGTTGCTCACATCCATAAGCCAAATCCTGCAGGCCTTAAACAACGCTTACCTAGGTGAAGTTTCAGTTTGACTCTATCTGGACAGAACATAAAAATTTATATTTGAAACAAGGTTAGAAGAAGCTCTGCATGCTGTCATGAAAATGAATGTGTTCTTCAAATTCATTAAGGAAAGCAAATCAATTTATACCTTCTGAAGTAAAGCTGTAATGCAGCTGATCAACGCGTGATATATGGGACTACCTTTTTAAATAGCAGCAGCCCAGTGAAATACATTCATTCTCCCTGGGATTTGGATTCCGATACCCAGATGTGAAAAATGGCAGGCTTGTCTTCTGTATCCAGCCTGCCTCAACACACTGAACCTTGTTATTGTGGTGGTGTATCAGAGTTGCAACCACAGGTTATTAAATTCAGAGCTTCAGCTTATAGCGCAAACTTATGCAAGTCTTATTTAAAAACAGCAATTAATATGTCACCTAACCAACAAAACGCAACCAAATGAATCAAACTGAGAGAGTACATGGTCCACCTTTTAGGTCCATTGTGCTTTCAAAGGCAAGGCAACACTCACAAGGCAGGGTCACCTCTGGAGCACTGGGCTGTGCAACACAGTGCTACGCCAGGCTGCAACTGTGCCGCACAGACCTCCAGCCAGCACTCAACCTATCCGCAGTGCAGTACCAACTTCTCCCCCCTCTACAGCCTCATGAAGCAGTGTGGTGCACAGAGTCTCATGATGGGGCAGGAGGCTGTGCTGTTGCATCGAATATTGGAGGTAACAGCCCGAGCCAGGAAAGGGTAGGCATTCTTGCGATATCAGACTCCCTGTGAGTGAGACATGATGGTCCTGCTGTAAGCAAAGGCAGGGCAAATGAGGAAGTAAAGCTAGAAAGCAACTAGAAGCCATTTGCCAAAGATCACTTGAGTTATGTGGTCAATTTAAAGTCACATAACTCAGTTAAATGTTTACATTTCAAAAGTCAGAATATACTAGTTAAGTTTGCAAATGAAGTCAAATAATTTCAATGAATAAATAAATATATTCATAATAAAAATCTGTATGTTTCCTTACATTCCTCCAGCAGAACAACCAGACCAAATGAGTCCATTTTTTAAGTTTGAAATGCAACCAGCTTTGCAGAAGATAAACAACATCTACTAAGCTTACACGCTATCTGCATATATAAATCTTCCTGCTAAAGATCAAGAATTAATTCAGATGACTCTCCAGCCATCTCCCCTCCAGTTTGTGCCCCAGCTGTCCGTCTCTGCCAGTTCCCCTTTAACCCATGGATGGTCACTGGGGATATGGAAATGGAGAGGTGATAAACCAGTTCTTCACTAAGTGTATGGTGTTAAAGGCAGTTCTTTTAATGAGGCCAATTCACCTGGCCAGAAGAGGAAAGTAGACCTTGGACTTTCAACTCCACAAGTCAGACACCTCTTCCAACAAAGTAAAATGACTGATCTGATAAATCTACTAGACTTTTAAAAATATTTGACGTGGTTGTGGTTTTATATGTGTTCTGGTCTTTGAGTTCTTAAGAGTTCAAGCTTTTGAGTTTTTCTGAAACTGCTAAGATAACAAACCACTGTCTCCCTCCCCTCAAAGATGCCACTTCCAGGGACATGGCTCCAGGAGCTAGGTGCTAAGAAATGAATGGAAATGTGGCATATTGCACACTAACTGCCAGTACACTGACAGCCTCTCAAGTCTCAGGAAAAAAAAAAAGTCCATTGTTTCAAGTAGCATGTGGATCAAGCTACTTAATTTCAGACTCCCAGGCAATAATCCAAAATAGTGCTTACACTACTGTAGTACTCATCTGTCGAACCTACTGCAAAACCTTGTAGCCTACAATAGGAGACACATAAATCATAGTATGGCCCCACGGATTCAGGAAACAGTTAGATGCTTGACTACGCTCACCACCTTTTTAAAGTAACAAGGAAAATCATGGGAGTCAAAAGGAGGAGTAGTGGGAAAGAAGAATATTCTGTATAAAGGTGAAGGTTGCTGAGTTTGTGTGCAACCTTATGCGAGCATGCACTGGTTTTACATGACGGAAAAAGGAAGTTGGTAAGAGAAAAGGTAGTGGAATTAACTAGATGTAACTGGCCACATATTTTGAGTAAAGAATGATCTCAAACACAGGGAAACTTGAAAAGGCAGGTCAATGTTATTACCACACTGTCATACATACAACCTCTCCCCTGTTATTTTACAGGTAGCAGTGACTGAGACACTCTGAAGAGCATGTGAGCAACAGAAGAGGAAGCCTACCCAGAACCTTCCCTAGTTGAGTGGCTCCTGGACTCCAGTTCTCTGGAGCCTGCTTTCTCACCACCATACCCTGAGTCTCCTTGTTTCTGCCTCTGATTATGTGTGGGGAGCTTAGTGAAAGGCACATGTTAGTGATGACTTATATTCAAGTATCAGTACTTTTAAAGACATGAGAATTATCTGAGATGTACATAAAACACATGATAATACAGTGATGTCTACAGATGTGTAACCTACTCTCCTGTGTAAGTGAACTACAGTGATGTGAGGGATGATACTAGGATACACTGAAAAAAAAAGTCTTATATTAAAAGGGTGCTGCCTTTGTACTGTTTTCTCTGGCAAAAAAAAATTTCCAGTGAATGCTCCTATTCAAGAATAACAGTTCAAAGGGGAAAAAGAACTGGGGAATGACTTTATTCCTGAGGGTAAGACCAACATTCACTGTTGGGAATCCTCATCTCAACCCTCCACAGCCATGAAAATCAGCCCAGGAGAAACAGTGAAGCTTCATAACCAAGATACCTTTTCAGATTTAATGGATAATTGAAAGAGCTACTCCAGAAAAACGGATGTTCAAAATGGACCTTTGTGCACTCTCTGCAGCCAGTTTAGCTCACAGACCATATATCACCTCAGAATTACATAAGTATGTGCGAGTGAGTGCAGGGCCCAACAGTCAACAAAAATGTGTAAGGCCTAAGTTTTGGCATAAGAAAACCATTTGCCTGTGGTTGCATTTGTAAGAATTGCATTCAGAAACGTAAGGGTCCCTCAAAGAAATCCCCACTGCAAAATTGTGTTAAAACAAATACTAGGTATCTTAAAAAGTCTCAGAGACACCACAAATGCAATTTTGTGCAATGCTTCAGAGAAGAATATCAGTTATTCTCTGTATTTCCAGTCCTCTAATGTCCCCGGCTATTAGATATTGGTTGCCGAGTTGCAGGGCTTGAAAATGTCACCATTTACTCACAGGAAAGCTCTGGGGTATCACCAGTGTGTTTATCCAGAGACTACCAAGGCAATGGTTCTACAAGATGCTTGCCTCAGAATTTAAGTCAGTTTAAGAAGCGGTCATCCTTGGCCTCCCATCCGTCTCCTCTGCCTCCTAAGAGCACTGAGCCTAATGACTCAATTGATTTGAGGAGGGCTATTTTAAGCCGTGATAAAACTCCAGCTTACAGCTCAGATCCATGAACACCGGCACAGCTGGGAGGGGAATAAACCCCATCCTGTAAATGGAGCGACGCTATGACAGATAGGAGCAAACAAGCACTTGAAGGGCTACGGGAAGATAGGAGAATTAGCTATGACCAAGGTTACCAATATGAAGAGCAGGTGATGGTTACCGTCTACTGCAGTGAAGAAATCAGACAGCAGCATGGGCAGACAGAACTGAGCCAGCTTTAATCCGTCTAGTCTGACTAGCAGTGAAAAGCCCAGGGCTATAAAACACCATCAGAAATCTACATCCTTAATCAAGCGGTGAACCACCCTATCACCTCTACTTGCAACATCTTTACAGAGACAGTGAAAGAAAAAAAAGTGTGGGCTTAGCATTGAATGGATGAATTAGTGATGGCAGTCATAGATAAGGCTAAGTTACTCAGTGTTCTTTGCCCATCTTCACCAGCAAGGTCTCCTCTCCAGAGACAGGACTGAAGGAGAAGAGAAATGACCAGCAGTGGATGAGGACTGAAATAGGGATTACTTGAGAGAGCTTGGCTCCTTCAAGTCCATGGGACCAGACGAGGTGCCTGCAGAGTGCCAAGAGAACTGGCTGATGTCCTTGCTATTCTTCTCTGAAAAGTCACAGAGATAAGGGGATCTGCAATGACTGAAAAAAGGCAAATGTTGCACCTATCCTCAAAAAGGGACAAAAGTGACAATTAGGGAAATTACAGGTGGTGAGCCTTACTTTGGTTCCCTGGAAAATCATGAAGCAAGTCCTCTTGGAAGACATTTCTGGGCACATGAAACGGGGTGACGGACAGCAGTCAGTAGATTTACCATGGATAAATCATTCCTGACCAACCTGACCGTCTGCTATGACAAAATGACTGGATATGAGGAGCAGTAAATGTCATTTACCTCAACTTTAGCAATGCTTTGAACATTGTATCCCACAGTATTCTCGTATCCGAGTTGAGATGTTGTGGCCCAGATGGGTAGGCAATGAAAGAACTAAAATTGGCTGGATGGTTGGGTTCAGAGGGAGTGGTTAATGATTGTCCTCCACCTGGAGGCCAGTAACAAGTGGAGTACCGCAGCGGTCTGTCTTGGTACTTCTTGTTTACTGTCTTTGTCAATGACCTAGAGGAGGTGATGATGTGCATGCTCGTCACGCTAGCAGATGGCACCAAACTGGGGAACCAAGTAAAAACTCCGAAGGACAGGGATGCCATTCAGAGGGACCTAGACAGGCTAGAAAAATGGGCCAACAGGAACCTTACAGAATTCAACAAAGGCA